TAGTTAAGTCTTTAAAACCATTTTTACAGTTATAAATAGAACAGTTTTAAAAATGGTCTGAGCTTTATATTGCTTTTAGAAAGTTGTCTTCAGTGATCATTTGACGTTTTTTTCTTAGTAAATGAAACTTGAAGGAAATTTTTTTTTATAAAGGAGAAACAAACCACCAACTGTCTTTCAAAGTAGCTGTGTTTTGTAATCCCACCAGTAATGAACAAGAGTTCCTTTCTTCACATTTTGCATACTTGTGAGCATTTGGAGTTGCCAGTGTTGTGGATTTTGGCCATTCCAATAGGCTTATAGGGGCTTCCCTGATGCATCAGTGGTAAAGAATCCATCTGCCAATGCAGGAGATGTAGGTTTCATCACTAGATTGGGAAGATCCCCTGGAGAAGGAAATCCCTCCAGTTTTCTTGCCTGGGAAATCCCATGGACAGAGGAGTCTGGCAGGCTGCAGTCCATGAGATTGCAGAAGAGTCAGACACGACTTAGTGGCTAAACAACAAACAACGACACATTCCATTTTAGGTAATCTGTAACATCCATCAGCAGTAGAAGAAAAGAGGAATTATGAAGACCTAAAGTAATAAGGAGAATGGAATACAGAGGAGGTCATAAAGAGTCGGTCATGACTTATCGACTAAACAACAAAAACAGCTTTAGGTTTATAATGATATCTCATTGTTCTAGTATTCAGTTCTCTAATCATAAATGATGTGTCCATCTTTTCATATTTGCCATCTGTATATGTCTTGTTTGGTGAGGTGTCTGTTCAGGTCTTTTGACTATGAAATTTTTTTTTTTTATTGAAGTATAGTTGATTACTGTTTTATGTTCATTTCAGGTGGACAGCATAGTGATTCAGTGTTTTTATTGTTTATATTCCATTTAAAGTTATTATGAAATAATGACTGTATTTCCCTGTGCTGACTATATTTCTTATATATACTTATACAAGAATAAGTATGTTCTTATTTCTTATCTATTTTTTCAGTGTAGTTTGTATCCCTTAATCTTATGTATCCATCTTGTCCCTCCCTACTTCCTTGTCTATTTTAAAAAATTGAGTTGTTTGTTTTCTTATTATCATTTTGAATGTTCTTTATATATTTTGAAATCCAATCCTTTATCAAATGTGTTTTTTGCAAATATTTTCTTCCACTGTATGGCTTGTCTTTACATTCTTTTGACAGTATTTTTTGCAGTGCAGAGATTTAAAATTTGGCGAAGTCAAGTTCATCAATTTTTTCTTTCAGTTGTGCGTTTGGTGTTAGACTGAAACATCATCACCAGACCCAAGGTCATTTAGATTTTCTTATCTGTTGTATTCTAGGAGTTATATAGTTGTGCTTATATCACCCATCTCTTCTTGCATGCTGTGTACTTTTTTCTGTTAGAGCCTTTAGCATATTTTTTTGAACCTTCAGCATATTAATCATAATTGTTCTAAATTCCTGATCTGATAATTCCAACATCCCTGCCATGTCTGGTCTGATGCTTATTACTCTTTCTCTTCTGTGTTTTCTGCCTTTTGGTATTCCTTGCAGTTTTTTCTTGATAGTCAGGTACAAAATATGGGCAAAAGAAACTGTTGTAAGTAGGCTTTTAGTAATGCAGTAGTAGGATTTGGGGGAGGGGAAGTATTCTGCAGTCCTGTGATTAGGTCCCAGTCTTTTGGTGAGCCTGCGCTCTGTACTGTTCTGTGAGCCACTTCACTAGTACTTCCCAGTTTTTTGTTTTTGTTTTCTTCTTTTTTCCCTCTCTCAGGTGGTACAGGATAGCTGGAGGGAGCTGGAGTTGTATATTTCTCTTTCCCCACGTGAAAGACTAGAACAAGCTAGAGTTGGTTATTTCCCTTTATCTGGTTCAGTTACGCGCTGATAAAACCCCAGCAGTTTAGTCTCTGTTAAGCAGTTTCTCCAGACTTAAGAACAGTGCTCTGGCATATTTCAGAAAAGTCCCCCCCCCCCCCCCCATTGCCAGAAGCGCCAAGGGGTTTGTCTTCAACATTAACTGTGAGGACACCGTTAGGGCTCCTGAAGGTGGCGCTTACAGAAATGTCGGGGCTCCTCCTGTAACTGGGTCCCCCTGGGGGCATGAACCCTTAGAGTTGTCCTCGCTGAGATGCCGGCGACTCAGTAGTTAACAGTTCAGGTGCTCCTACCCCGGCGCTGGGTCCTGAAGAGGCTTCCATGCCACTAAGTCATGATTTTCTGTGTCCTGCTCTCTCTCCAATTATGGATGCTGTTGTTTGCCCGTGACCTCACTTGTCTGATGGATCTAAGAAGAGTTGTTGATTTTTCAGTTTGTGGCTGATTTTTCTTTTTGTTAAGATGGAGTGGTGACTTCTAAACTCCTTCCATGCTGGACTGGAAACCGGAAGTCTCCAGTCATCATTTGGTGATATAATTTGTTACAGATTGATTTTTCAATTTCTTACACATCTCATAAACCATATTGAATATTATAAAAGTTATTTTTTCAAAAAGCCAAAAATAAATAAAGTAAAAAATGATTTCTTTGATGACTTATAGCTCATAAATAGTCTCCATTCTAGCCATAATTTAGTCAAAATAGCACAGCCTACAAAACCTTTCCTATTTTATTGTTTCCTGTAAGAAAATAAAAATCATCAGAGTCTTTCAGTATTTTAGTTACCACTACAAGGAATGAATATTCTGCTAATTTTTCAGCGTGCACATTGCTCTCCACTCTTGAGCAAGAACTAAACCAATATTAACTTTTGTAAAACTTTCACATCTAAAAAAAATAGGAGAGTAGAATGTTGCTCTAAATATGACATTTTGTAGCTCAATTTTAAAGCATAAATCCTAATAAACAGACCTTTATTAGCTTGTCATTCAGTCGATGTGAGAAAGGCAGGATTCTTCAGTCTAGGATTTCCCATGGCTGATTCATGTCAATGTATGGCAAAAACCACTACAATATTGTAAAGTAATTAGCCTCCAACAAATCAAAATAAATGGAAAAAAATAAAATAAAATAAATTATTCAAAAAAAAGAAAAGCAGCAGAGCGGGTTTGCTGTATCTGACAATGGGCTTGAGGTGCTTAGTCTCTCAGTCGTGTCTGACTCTGCGACCCCATGGACTGTAGCCTGCCAGGCTCCTCTGTCCACGGGGATTCTCCAGGCAAGAATACTGGAGTGGGTTGCCATGCCCTTCTCCAGGTCATCTTCCCAACCCAGGGGTCCAACCCAAGTCTCCCCAGTTGCAGGCGGATATTGTACATTATGCTTCTTTAAGAAATTTGATTGGTTATTTTACTTTAAAAGATAATCCTATGATAAATTTACTATAAATATAAAGTCTGGATTTATTCTGGATGAGACCTAGTAAAGATTTACTTCAGTTTATCATGTGACAATAAATAATTAGAATGTTAAGCTAGCATAGCTAATTTGATGTTTAACATTATTTCCCATTGGTTTCATACCAACCCAATATAGGTTTGAAGACAAGTAGAATAATCTAGTCAACAGTACCGTGGGCTAGCTACAATCACAGATAAAAGAGAAATATTTCACAGTAAAAAGTCTAAGGAGAGGTATGGTAATATATAAAAGGTTCAGTTATCTAAGGTTATTTTAAATGAAGTGCCGTTTAACGCTGTGTACTGCTGAAAAAAATTTTCAGAAAGAAGTATGTTCATGTCATTGAATTATTTATCTACAGGCTTAACATTAATCACTTGTGTTCAATGACTCAAAGGATACTCTTCCTTTTAAATTTATTATTAAGGAAATATGGGAGATGGTAGTCATTCTTCACTTTCTTACATCTAGTCGCTGAAATGCTCAGCACTGAGAAAATTCACAACATCAAATCACACTGTAATTGATGAATTCTTTAATCCAATATTCTATTATCCCTTCATGGTCTACAGTATTGAGTTCCTGTTTTGTTTGCTGAGAAGCTTATGCTATTTGTATTTGCAGCTTTCTGAGGAGCATTCCTCTTTCCAGTAATATTTAACAACTGAGTAACAATTAAGTTATTACCACAACAAAAATGAAATTGAGATGGCCAGAAGTCTGACTTTTTTCCTTCTCTCTGAGGTTCTTCTAGCATGTGACTAGAAGACCATAGATGATACTTTGTGCTTATGTACTATATTCTATGGATAAACAATTCCCAAGACAATATATGCCTTTTCTAGCACAAAAAAAATCAGACTAGTTTCAAAAAACCTCAGCCTGATACAGGGTGTTATGTCTTTGAAGTAAAAATTCAAGACACCACATAGCAACTATTATGAATATGATGGCAGGTTCATCCTTGGGAAAGGCATTATGGTGTTCATGGGCTTTGTTGAGGCTCATAGTCTATATATCAGTTAAACAGAAAAAGATTGAGCTTCAGTGAGATAATATTCTGCAGCCCTGGAAGTCAGAGAGAACCTCTCTTGCTGGTTGCCTGCTGAGGTAGAGTATCCAGTTTCCATATTCCTGTTCAGTTTGGCTCTTTGAGATTACTTTTAAACTTCGTATATCAGGCAAATGCTAGTATCTTGGACCCTTGAGGAGAGCATTGTCCATGCTGGGTCAGCTATCTCAAGGAGTGGGTAAGCATGACTTAGAGTGGACATTCACAGGCAGATGCAGAGTTTTTCCTTCGAGGGATTTCCTGGGCACAAGAAGAGCTAACATTGCTCTATATCACAGATGATGGTAAGTATGGTCTATGGGCGCCTGCATCAGTTCTCAAAAGGTCTTAGTACTGGCACAGTTCTCAGAAGTGTGTGAATGCTGACTTCATTTTTCTCATGCCAGTCTATTCATCTCTTTTTTATTCATAATGTATGCTTTATTTGCTCTTGAAGTAATTGCTGTTTCTTATTATTACAAAAAATGTTTACATTAACCATAGATGACCCTCTACTGTCTTTTTTCCAGATTGTGTTTATTTTTCCATTAGCCTGCAATTCCATTTGAATATAAAGTCATGTAACATATTTGTTAATAATGTTTCTGCCATGCAGCCCAAAATTGTTCTGGATTGAGGACCTGTGGACAATGTTTGGAACAACCTGGGTGTGGCTGGTGCAATGATCCTAGTAATACTGGAAGAGGACACTGCATTGAAGGGTCTTCCCGGGGACCAATGAAGCTTGTTGGAATGCTTAATAATGAGATGCTTCTTGATACCAGTCTTTGTCCTAAAGAGAAGAACTATGAGTGGTCCTTTATCCAGTGCCCAGGTAATAAAAATATTCTGAAAGAAATTTTAATTTCTGCTCAAGGACACCAAGAATTACTTTCTTTTCTTATAAAAAGATTTAGGAAAAAAATAATAATGGAAATGAGACTGAAAATAAAGGATTAAAAAAATTCTTTCCTATGTCCATGTTTGTTTTATAGGTGATATTATGCTTGGAATCATTAAATAGGCTAACCAGATGCATGATATATAATTGTCAGATTTGGTTTCATGTGAACTATTACAAGGAAAAATTACATTGGTTCCATACCAAATTTCTATACTGTAGTATAGTCTTTTATTGTTTGTAATATAGTATCTTAGACTTCAAAGGCAACTCAGAGGATTCAGTCAAGCTTCATGCTAAGTATGGAAATATTTTGTGTAATATGCTTGATAGAGTCATTTGACCTTTGGTGTTTGATGTCATTCAATTTTGAAGGTCAGTAAAGTTATTGGAGTTTTCAAAATAGGAAGTTGGTTCTTATATGGAATAAAATCAACCTCTTGAAAAATTAATTTATTCAGTATATTTCTATTGAGTGTCTACTGTGTGCAAAGAGTGTTTGACATTCTAGGGACATAACAATTTAAAAAGTTGACTAAAACCACTGCATTAATTGAGCCTAAAGTGAAAGTGAAAGTCACTCAGTCCTGTCCAGCTCTTTGCGACGCCATGGACTATACAGTCCATGGAATTCTCCAGACCAGAATACTGGAGTGGGTAGCCTTTCCCTTCTCCAGGAGATCTTCCCAACACAGGGATCGAACCCAGGTCTCCTGCATTGCAGGCAGATTCTTTACCCAGCTGAGCCACCAGGTAAACACTTAGTTGATCCTAATTGTATTCTAATTGAAATTAATCACACACACAGTGTGTGTGTGGTTATAAGTTAGATGGTCCTAAGTCCTATTAAATAAATCAAGGAAGGGAGATAAGGCTTGCAATTTAAAATAGAGTGGTAAGAGAAGATCTCTCTCAGGAGTAATGGTTATTAAACATCTCAAGTAGTTGAGGGAGTGAACCACGGGGCTGTCTGGGGAAAGAATGTTCCAGAAGTCACAAGGACTGGGTGAGATAGTTTATTTACGAGATGAACCTGGGAAGCATAATTGAAGCAATAGAGAGTTTCAGAGAAGAGAGGAAGACCAATAATATGTGCATTATGAAGCTGGATACTATACTGGGAAATATGAACTCAGACCCACTGGGACCTTTGAAGAAATATGTAGAATGCTTCTCAGGGTTAAACCACTGAAGGACTGGGAGAGTAGGGTATTGATCCATAACTCTCCTCCACTGAGAGTTGAGTGATGCCTTTGGGGGTGTTGAACTTCTGCGCTGTGCCAGCACATCTGATTAATAGCTTGTCCTGATACCAGTAAACCTCCTGAGGCAAACAGGCAGAAGATACTGTGGACTGCATTAGTGAGGCATTGACAGTGTGCTGCACTGAAACCAGTTAGGCTGGGGAAATGTGACACTTCTTCATAAACTTCGGGAGGTGTGAAAACTAAGACGAGGGACTAACTGCTGATTCATATGACAGCATGGCTGAATCTTAAATACATTTTGCCTAGTGAAAGAAGCCAGGCCAAAGGGCCACGTGTTGTACTATGGGGATGGAAAAGAGATGAGTTATTTGCCAGAAGTAGTAAAGGCAGAGATTGCCTTCAAGAGGGCTTCACAGTGAAACTTTTGGGATTATGAAAATGTTCTTCTTAATACTGTGGTGGTTGATAATGATTCTATACATTTGTCAAGCCATACTGAATATGACAGAAAATAAACTTTCCTGACTGCAAATTAAAAAAAAAAACGTCAATCATCCAGGATGTCAGAGGATGCAAGCTGTGACAAGTAAATGTAACTGTATTGCAAATGCCATAACTTCATAAGAAAGTGAGCTGATCTAAGTAACCTTGGAAAATAGTGTTTTGTTTGGATACTGTGAAACTAAAGCAAAAAATTATATAAACATTATATTCTGATTGGTAAATTTGTTTCTCACATAGTACAGACTAACAATCCTAACAATACTTTATATGTTTACTAGGTTTGGACAAATATATAAATTAATTGTGTTTTGTATGAGCCAGGTTTCTTTCAGAGAAAAAAGTTAAAAATATGCAAAGAGTGAAGACTGTAAAGAACCCTGTGGGGAACTCCCTGGCCCTCCAATAGTTAGGACTCTATGGTTCCACTGCAGGAGGCACAGGATTGATCCCTGGTCAGGAAACTAAGATTCCCTCATGCCCTGTGGCACAGCTGAAAAACAAAAAAGCAAAACAGAACAGAACCTTGTGGTATTGGTTTCACATATAAGCATAAATTCAAGTTTATTTTAATATTTATATATATGTAGGTGTGTGATGTATATATACATATATTTTCTAATTTAGTTCTTCAAGAAGGCCTAGAAGCCACAGTGCCCCAGTATCAATGAGCATCTTCTGTGCCCACATCCTGTTTTCAAAATACTGTTTCCAATGAAACGAACCAGGACTGTTTGGAGAAATGACTGATTCTACAACTGAGGCAGGGAGAATACAAGATTAGCCTGAAGTATTGTCTAGGCCAGAAAGTAAGAGAGTGCTCAAAACAAAACAAAGGAGAATGGGAGCATGTCAAAGGGGCATACTCAACCTGAAAGAGTTCTCAGTGGGTCAAATCTGGGCAAAAAAAATGACTATATTGGATTGTAACCCAAAGAACAGAATACATACCCATGATTCTTTACTGATTTAATGATGAAATAAATAATACACAAGTGAGAATGGATAAATATTTCTTACAGAAAATTCTGAATAATGTAGAATGAAGGACTTCCCTGGTGGTCCAGTGGTTAGAGCTCTGCGGTCCCAGTGCGGGGACCCGGGTTTGATATCTGGTTGGGGAATTAAGATCTTGCAGGTTGCATGATGTGGGCAAATAAATAAATGAAGAATGACTGAAGGAAATAAAAAATTACTGTTAGAATCCCATAGTAGTTAAGTGCTGTAAGAAGAATCTGCTTAAGAATGTTCAAATTAGTGGGTGAAACTTTGAGGAAAAACAAGATATTTGTGTAGCTTCCAAGTATCTTCTTCAAAAGTATTTGAAGTTTGAACGTATGTCCACAAATCCTTGAAAATTGTTCCTCTAGGAACTGAACTGAAGTTGCTCAGTCATATCCGACTCTTTGCAACCCCATGGACTGTAGACTACCAGGCTCCTCAGTCCATAGAATTTTCCAGGCAAGAGTACTGGAGTGGGTTGCCATTTTCTTCTTCTTCCTCTAGGAAGTGGAGCTTAATTTCTTTACCCCCGTGTGTGAATTGGACATGACGACTCACTTTTAATGAAGAGTGTGTGGAAGGGGAAATATTGTAACTTTACAGTAGAGAACAGAAGGGGACATCACCTTGAACAAGTGATCAAGGTTAACACCACCAGTGATAAGTCATGTTAATATCCACATCTTGTATCTCCTTCTTCAAGACCAGTGCCTTTTGAGGGATTATCTGACCGAGTCCATTCAGGATGGTCTTCCTTTCTCAAAGCCAGCTGTGCCATGTGACATAATCTAGTCATCAATCAGTGACTGTCCCATCATATGTGCAGGTCCCTGCCACACTCAGGACTTCCCAGGTGGCACAGTGGTACAGAATCCGCCTGCCAGCGCAGGAGATGCAAGTTCGATCCCTGGGTTGGGAAGATCCCCTAGAGTAGGAAATGGCAACCCACTCTAGTATTCTTGCCTGAAAAACTCCGTGGACAGAGAAGCCTGGCAGGCTACAGTCCATGGGGTCTCAGAGAGTCAGACGGTGACTGAGCACGTGCTACCACACTCAGGACGAGGCCATTACCATTTGATTAAATAACTGAGGTATTACCCCCTACGTCCATTGATGCGTAAGACTAACCAGCATACCATACTACAGTTGACCCATTTGTAGTGTAGAACTCAATGGATTTTAGCATATTCAGAGACTTTTGCAACCATCACTACACTCAATTTAAAAACATTTTATCATCTCCCAGAGAAATCTTGCATTTCCTAGCGGTCACTACCTGTTCACCCTGCCTACCCTTGTCAGCTATGGATTGCCTATTCTGATCATCTTAATAAATTGAATCCTACAGTTGTAGTTTTTTTGCCTGGCTTCTTTTATACTGGCATGATGTTTTCAAGGTTTGTCTGTGTTGTGGCCTCTAGCAGTACTTCACTTCTCTTTATTACCAAATAATATTCCATCATGTGAATATGCCATGTTTTATTTATTCATTCATTATTTGATGGATATTTGAGTGTTTCTGGTTTTTGGTTTTTAAAATGCACTTCTTGAATACTATGTACAAGTTCATGTGTGGACATGTTTTCATCACACTGGGAATGGGATATCTGGGTCAAATGGTAACTGTGTTTAACCTTTGGAGGAACCACCTGACTGAAAGCTACTATATTATTTTACATTTCCACCAGCAGGGCATGAGGGTTGCAATTATTCTACATCCTTGTACACACCGCTTATTTCATACTGTTTCGATTATAGTCATTGTTGTGGGTGTGAAGTGGTATCTCACTGTGGTTTTGATTTGCAGTTATTTGGTGACTAGTGATGTTGAACATCTTTTCATGTGTTTATTAGCTGCCAATATTCTTTTGAGACATGTCTGTCAGATTCTTTGCCCATTGTTTAATTGGGGTATTTGTCTTTTTTATTATTGGACTGTAAAGCTTCTTTATATATTCTGAATACAATAAGCCCCCACCAAAGATTGATTTGCAAGTATCTTCTCCCATTCTGTGGGTTGTCTTTCACTTTCTTGATAGTGTCCTTGAAGCACAAGTTTTAAATTTTAATGATGTGTTTTCTGTTTTTTCTTTTCTTTCTTGTGCTGTTGCTTTCATGCCTGTGAAATCATGTGTAATAAAAGATCCCAAAGATTTTCATCTATATTTTCTTTTTAGACGTGTAGTTTGATCTCTTACACTTAGGTTTTTGATCTGTTTTGAG